AAGGAAACATACCCCACAAGAATCTCCACCAAAAGACACAAACACGACATTCCCAACGCAACTGACCAACCTATACTACAACCCACTCACTGTTCCTCTGCCACCAACCCCCATATCACAAAACCTCACCCAACAGCTGTCCCTTATGGGCATTCTGACCCCACCCCCATTCATCACAAAACCCCACCTAACCACAGCCCATAATGGGCCCCCACAATGCTCTTGCTCCCCCAACCCAATATTCTTGCATGACCAATGATAGAAAAGATACTGAAGTTTGGTACACAAACGCGGATGGAATAACGAATAACACATGAGGAGTGGAACGAAAGAATCAGTGAAAAATCCCAAGACATCATAGCCGTCACCAGAAACAAACACTTGCTCGAGACAATAAACAGACAAAATCTTCCCAATGGGGATATCAGCTCCTGAGGAAAGATAGAAGGAGTAGAGGGGGAGGAGGGGGTTGCACTGCAAATAAAACACCGATGGGGATTTGAGGAAATGGAAAGGCATGAACATGATTGGAGAAAGAGGAATACATTGTAGGTACAATTCAGTCCGGAGAACATAATGTAGGTCATTGGAGTGATGTATAACCCCCACCACAGAACTGCAGGCGGCCAAGCGAGGAGTACGAAGAAAAACACAGGGTGATGTAGAAACTCTGGCTGAGGGGTGGCAAGAAGAGCTCATCGAGCAGAGCAACCTTACTGGTAATGGGCGATTTCAAAACAGGGAGATCGACTCGGGAAAAACCTGGAGCCCATGGGGGTCCCGAAATGGAGAGCCAAGATGATGGATGTGGTACTTGAAAACCTCATGCATCACATTTCAGGGACACAACCAGAGAGTGAGGGAGGATGAGCCAGCAAGACTGGATCTTGTGTACACCTGAGCAGTTTCAGACTTGAGGACATCACTTACGAGACGGCCCCTTGGGTGTAGCCGACTCATTGGTTCTGAGTTTTGGTTATATAGTAGAGTTACAAAGTGGAGAAGGTAACAGAACTGAGGGGACAGGCCAAACTATAAATGGGGGGATACACAGGTATTGAGTAACTTCTGCGGAGGTTCAGTGGGACAGAGGAAATGGTAGGGGAAAAATCAGTAAACGGAGAGATGGGAATATGTGGCAACAAAGTGCCTAGGTGGCAGAGGAAAGGTTTGTCCCAAGGGAAACAGAAATAATAGAAAGACCAAAAACGAGTCCTTGTTTACCCGAAGGTGTAGGGAGGCAAAAACTAAGTGCAACCGAGATTGGAACGGTACAGAGGCATAGGACCCAGGATAACAAGGAGATTAGTAGAAGAGCCAGAAACGAGTATCACAGATAAGGAGGGAGCCAGCGACAGTATGAAAACGACATAGCATCGAAAAGTCAAAATCTGACCGAAACTGCTGTTAAGCCACATTAGGAGGAAGACAACAGTCAAGGACCAGGTAATAAGGCTGAGGAAAGAGGTGGAGAACTCACCAGAACGATCAAGAGGTATGTGGGGAGCGCAACACGAGATTTACGGTAGAATTTACAGTAGAGACAGGAAGGACTAGGGGGGACAGACCAGATGGGGACACCAGCAAGGAATACACCAACAAGTGTTGGAGAAATACATACAGATGAGGAGGAGGTGAACGAATGCTAAGGGGGGACAATCGATACCTCAAAGGCAATGGGACCGGACAATATCGCCCCATGGATCCTAGAGAGGGAGCAGATATGTTGTGCGTGCCACTTAACCACAATTCTTAAACATGCCTGGAAATGGGCAACTCCCGGAGGTATGGAAAAGATGGCAAAATGTAGTTCCATTTTTAAAAAAGGAGACAGAAAAGAGGCACTAAACTATAGACCTGTGGTCATTGACGTGTACTATTATGCAAAGTTATGGAGAAGATTATTCAGGAGAGTGGTGGAGCACCTGGAAACGGAAAAGAGTTATAAATGCCAAACCAGCTCAGATTCGTGGAAGGCAAATCCTGTGTCACAAAACCTTCTGTGTTTTATGTTAAAATAAACAGAAGTATGACACGAGAGAGAGGGGTGGGTTGATTGCATCTTCTTGGACTGCAAGAAGGCCTTTGACACAGTTCCTCACAAGAGATTAGTGCAGAAGCTAGAGCATCAGGCGCATATAACAGGAAGGGCACTGCAATGGATCAGAGAATACCTGACAGGGAGGCAACAACGAGTCATGGTACATGATGAGATATCATAGTGGGCACCTGCGATGACTGGGGTCCCACAGGGGTCAGTCCTAGGACCAGTGCTATTTTGATGTATGTGACTGACATAATGGAAGGAATAGACTCTGAAGTGTCCCTGTTTACAGATCACGTGATGCTAATAGAAGGATGAAATCGGATGATGCTAAGGAGGACTACAAAGAAACCTGCGACTGGATGGACACATGGTCCGCCAACTGCGTTCTCGAATTCAACCCCTGCCAAATGCACAGTCATGAAGATTGGGGAAGGGCAAAGAAGATCCGCAGACAGTGTAAAGGTAGGTAGACAAAGGCTGACAAACCTCACTCAAGAGAAAGATCTTGGGGTGGACCCATTAAGAAGGAGCACGTCCCGGACGGCACACCATCAACCAGATAACTGTGCAGAATATGGGCGCCTGGCCAAACTGAGAAAAGTGTTCCGATACCTTAGTAAGGAAATCGTTCAGACACTGTACACTGTACGTTGGGCCCATACTGGAGTATTGCAGCACCAGTTTGAACCACACCTGGTCATGCACATCAAGAAAATTAGAGAAGAACAAAGGTTTGCAACAAGGCTAGTTCAGAGCTCAGGGGAATGTCCTACAAAGGTTGAGGGAATTCGGACTGGGACGACACTGGAGGACCATTAGGGTCAGGGGAGACCATAACAACAAACATCCAAAATAATGCGTGGAATATGACACGGTGGACAGAGTCAGGATGTTACCAGAGAGGGACACAGGAACATGGGGTCACAATTGGACGCTGAGACTCAGACGAATCACTTAGGATGTGAGGAAGTACTTCTTCAGTCACAGAGTCATCAGGAAGTGGAATAGCCTAGCAAAAGTGATGCGTGGAGGTAGGAACCATATCCAAGCTTTAAGATGGATATGACAAAGGCTCAGGAAGCAGAGAGGGGAGTGAGAGGGACTAGTGTGGTCAGCGAAGAGGCAGGGCCAGGAGCTGAGTTCGACCCCTGCAACCAATTAGATGGAGTGCAACTAGGCCGAGTACAACAACGCACCACAAGAAACACACCAAACACACCAACACGCAAAACACACTAAAAAAACCCCACACAAAGCACACACACACACACCAAAACCACACACACACAAAACCACACAAAATGCACCACCACATACACAAAAAACCCACATGCAAATACCACAACATGCAAAACACACACCTACACAGAAAACACACACACACAAAAACACACACAAAAAATCACACAAAACCACACAAACAACACACACACAATCAACACAAAACAACACGCACAGATAACCACACAAAACACACACACAAAAAGACACACACACACAAAACACACACTCAAACATCACAAAAACACATACATGTACACAACACTTTTTTTCAAACACACCGGCGTATACCACCGAGGCGGGGTGGAACAAAAGGAAAACGCAGTTTCTCCTTTTACATTTTAATGATCTACAGGAGAAGGGGTTTACTAGCCCCCTTGTCCTGGCATTTAGTTGCCTCTTACAACACGCATGTCTTACGGAGGAAGAATTCTGTCCACTCCCCATGGCAGGTAAGAGGAAATAAAACAAGAACAAGAACTAGTAAGAAAATAGAAGAAAACCCAGAGGGGTGTGTATATATATGCTTGTACATGTATGTGTAGTGTGACCCAAGTGTAAGTAGAAGTAGCAAGACGTACCTGAAATCTTGCATGTTTATGAGACAGACAAAAAGACAACCAGCAATCCTACCATCATGTAAAACAATTAAGGTTTCCGTTTTACACTCACTTGACAGGACGGTAGTACCTCCCTGGGCGGTTGCTGTTTACCAACCTACTACCTACAACACACACATACAAAAGACACACACACAACACACACACACAACACATACACACAACACACAACACATACACCAACACATACACACACAACACATACACACATACACATACACACACACACAAACACACACACACAAACACACACACACACACACACACATACACACACAACACATACACACACAACACATACACAACACACACACACAACACACACACACACACATACCACACAACACATACACAACACACACACACACATGCACACACAACACACACACACACACACACACACACACAACACATACAACACATACACACACAACACATACACCCACACACAACACATACACCACACACACAACACACACACAACACATACACCACACACACAACACAACACACACACAACACACGCATTCACATTTCACACACTCAACTTTTACTTTTCATTTTGGGCCACCCTGCCTCGGTGGTATATGGCTGTTTTGTTGAAAGAAGACAAAAAAAAAACTTATTTATGGTAGAAGCAGATACTACATAGTCAGCTGATAAACACTCACACCCTGACTGGCCCAAGACTGGGCCACAGTTTGCAGGCAGAGAATCAAGTCTTTATCACATCTTGGCCCCATTTTGTTTCAGATACCATATCCCTTGAAATTTTACTTTAAATCTTATTAATAACAACATTGAGAAAAATGTCCATAAAGAGGAGAGATTTGAACATGGGAAATCTAGCAGGCACATTTTCAATTAATTCCTATGTTTGGTTTTCAGCTCAGGGGTTGTATGTCAAACTTAAACAAATATACAAAATTATTCTTCAGACACTCTTTAGTAAAAACACTAAATAATCAAAATCATCTAACTTAAGAGTATAGTACAGCACACTTGTCAGGATGACTGTACAGCACCAAACTATGCCTGTAAACCTACAGTACCTCTGTTGTTCTCGCTCCCTTTCCCTCTTGCATGCCTCTTCTTTCTCCTGCTCAAACTTCTTCTTGAGCTCCTCCTCCTGGCTCCGCAGCTGACTCATGGACCTCTCCTCAATTTGCCTCGTGGCTTCCCAGTGCTCAGCCTTCAGTTGGCTCACCTCATCTCGATGCTTGGCACTCAGGTCTTTCATCTTTGTCTCCAGTCCACGGTATGTTGTTTCCTGCAACAAGAGGGGTTAAATATATATGTATGTATGAATGCATTGCAAGAGTGAGGAGCAGACGTTTTTGGGTATAGAAGGAAGGCTGTGGGTGGGAAGAAGAAAGCTTGATGGAACAATATAAAGAGGATGGTATGGAAGAAAAATTAGCATTCAAGAGATTTTTTATTTCCTTTTTTCTTTTTCTTCAACAAGTTGACCATCTTCCACTGAGGCAGGGTGACCCAAAAACAGAGAAAATCCCCAAAAAGAAAATACATTCATTATCATTCAACACTTTCACCTCACTCATACAAGAGATTTCTGCAATGAAAAAATGGTAGACAAGAGGCAGTCTCTCCAGACAAAAGGCATGAGGATGAAGAGAGGTTCAATGAGTGATGAAGAAGTGGAAAAGGAGAGCTTGTGAGAAAATGGATGAGATTATTATCAGCAAATTTTGATGAGAATAAGCAACTATTTTGGAGAGATATTAATAATGTGAGAAAGCTTGGAAAACAAAGGGACCTAGCAGTTAAAACTGAGACGGAAGATGCCAGATGAGGAGGATAGAGAGGGTATTTGATGAGTTAAGAACATAAGAAAGGAGGAACACTGCACAAACCAGTCACGATACTGTGCCTTTTCTTGTATATATGGAGGAACACTGCAGTAGGCCTGAGGCCCATACTGAGCACATCCTCCACAAATCCATCTCACGAACAGAATATTTGCCCAACCCATTTTCAAAGCTATTCAAGCAATAAGATTCGATAAATCTATTCACTCAAATGCAAGTCTACTCAAATCCAGCCCCTATCACTCGTGTATTTCTTTTTTTTTTAACACGTCGGCGGTCTCCCACCAAGGCAGGGTGACCCAAAAGTAAGATAAACCCAAAAGGAAAGAAAAAAACTTTCATCATCATTCAACATTTTCACCATCAGTCATACATAATCACTGTCTTTGCAAAGGAGCCAGATATGACAGTTCAGATGTCCCTCCAAACTGCCAATATCCCAGACCCCTCCTTTAAAGTGCAGGCATTGTACTTCCCATTTCCAGGACTCAAGTCCAGCTAACTGGTTTCCCTGAATCCCTTCACAAAATATTACCCTGCTCACACTCCAACAGCTCGTCAGGTTGCAAAAACCATTCATCTCCATTCACTCCTAACACACCCATGCATGCTTCCTAGAAGTCCAAGCCCCTCACCCACAAAACCTCCTTTACTCCCTCCCTGCAACCTTTCCTAGCCAACCCCTACCCTGCTTTCCTTCCCCTACAGATTTATATGCCCCCCATGTCATTCTACTTTGATCCATTCTCTCTAAATGACCAAACCACCTCAACAACCCCGCTTTACGGCGTTTCACTTTACGGCGTTCCGCTAATACGGACATTTCAAATTATGACCAAAACTCACTATACGGCTCCCCCCACCTGACTTTCTAATACGGTCACCGTGCCCCACCCTGTTTGTTTACATTCTCCATGAGCTCAGTAAGCACTAAGTCTCTCCATTTTGTCTGGAAACTCCAAAATTTCAAATGTTTTTAAAAGTTATTTCATATTTTATATATACTCTGATAATTATACTTATGTATACCTGTACCTAAATAAACTTACATACATCGAGTCATTTAAATGTCGTATATTACGTTAATATACACATTTTCATTAATCCATCCATGATATTTTTTTCAAAATTATATAATAAACAAGATGCATAACATATAAATAAGATAAATACACCCCACAGTAGAATAAATAAACAAATGTGAGATGTGAGCAGACGACTTGCACAAGTGGTGATAATAACAATACTGAGTCTCATTAAATGTCGTATATTACGGTAATATACACATTTTCATTAATCATCCATGATATTTTTTTCAAAAATTATATAATAAACACGATGCATAACATATAAATTAAGATAAATACACCCCACAGTAGAATAAATAAACAAATGTGAGATGTGAGCAGACGACTTGCACAAGTGGTGATAATAACAATACTGAGTCTCATTAAATGTTGTATATTACGGTAATATACACATTTCATTAATCCAGCCATGATATTTTTTTCAAAATTATATAATAAACACGATGCATAACATATAAATAAGATAAATACACCCCACAGTAGAATAAATAAACAAATGTGAGCTGTGGAAGCAGACGACTTCCACAAGTGACGCCATAATAACAATAGTCACAGAGTCTCATTAAATGTCGTATATTACGGTAATATACACATTTTCATTAATCCAGCCATGATTTTTTTTTCAAAATTATATATAAACACGATGCATAACATATAAATAAGATAATACACCCCACAGTAGAATAAATAAACATAAATGTGAGCTGTGGTAGCAGACGACTTCCACAAGTGGTGATAATAACAATAGTCACGGAGTCTCATTAAATGTCGTATATTACGGTAATATACACATTTTCATTAATCCAGCCATGATATTTTTTCAAAATTATATTAATAAACACGATACATAACATAAAAAGATGATAAATACACCCCACAATAGAAAAATAAACATAAATATAAGATGTGGGAGCCTGGTTTGTTTACATAACTCTGCTTCTGTTACCTCATGTACTCATTCTTTCTCTCTCTCATTTATTCGTTTTAAACTCATTTACTTACTCCTGACCCTACATTAAGACTACAAAATATTTTAAGGTAAGTAATGAGTGAACTGTATATACATTTTATCGCTCTGGGATGCTTAAATATCATAGAACAGTAGTGGGGTGGGGGGGCCGGGTTAAATACCCTGGCTATTACAATACATACCAACTTGATTCTTCAATAAATACTACTGTCTCACCTAATTAAGATTTTAAAAATATTTTAAGGAAAGTAATGGTGCACTAGTGTTATTGTACCTTTTTATTGTTTTTGATCCGGGTTCTATTGCTAACTTAATAATTTGGTAAATTTTATCTAGTGTTTGTATGCTTTTATAAGTGGAAAAAAAGGGGTTTGCCCTTTACGGCGATTTCCGTTTTAGGGCGGTGCTGGAGCCTAACCCCCGTATAATGGGGCCTTCCTTACTTTTATTAACTCCACACCCCCTAATTTTCCACACTCCGAATTTCTGCATAATATTTCCCAAACACTTGCCTTGAAGGACATTCCACCGCCCCCTCGCTGCAGATTACAACTCAAGCTTCACACCCTATAAGAGTGTTGGTACCACTATACTTTCATACATTCCCTTTTTTGCCCCTGATAACGTTTTTAGTCCCCACATTATCAAGCACCATCCCTTTTTTTCTTCCCGTCAATTCTATGGAAAACCTAACCCTTTCTAAATCCATCTTTTGACACGTCAACTCCAATATTGAAAAACTTCATCTTTTCTTCCCAAACCCCTTTTTCCCCAAATTTTATACCCAAATTTTTTTCTTTATCTAAATCTTTTGATCCCCTCATCACCTTACTTTTTCTATGTCATTTAAAAACCTTTCTACCTTTACACACACCCCCCAACCATCCCTAACCTTGGTTCAAAAACCCCACGCACTCTCTCAACATTTCCCAAAAAACTCCTCTCTCTCTCCCCTACACTTCTCTTTTCCGGGGCAATACCTTTCTAAACCCACTTTTCACATCCAACCTTTATTTTCTCCAATAAACCTTAATTAATTATTTATACTCCCTCTTTCCCTGCCATAGTTTTCCCTTTGACATTATTGCTACACTCCCTTAAGCCAAAAAAATATTCGAAACCCTGCCCAAACCCCCTTTATTCTCCCCCCCTAAAACTCTCCGCCCCTTAGTTTGTTTCACTTTAAAACCAGAATCCCGTTTTATTCAAAAAACCCAATTTTCTCTTTTTATCTTCAAACAACATCCCTGCAAATTCAAACATCCCCCTTTGACAAATTTCTTCTTTTTTTTTTAGTAGGTATACAGGAAAAGGGGGTTTTAGCCCATTTTCCCCGGGGATTTTAGTTGACTTTTACAACCCATGGCTTACGGAGGAAAAATTCTTATTCCACTTCCCCATGGATATAAAAGGAAAAGTAATAAGAACAAGAACTATTAAGATAAAATCAAAGAAAACTCAGATGAGTGTGTATAAATAAACGTGTACACGTATGTGTAGTGTGACCCAAGTGTAAGTAGAAGTTGCAAGACGTACGTTCAATCTTGCTTGTTTATAAGACAGACAAAAGACACCAGCAATCCTACCATCAGGTAAAACAATTACAGGCTCTCATTTTACACTCACTTGGCAGGACAGTAGTATCTTCCTGAGTGGTTGCTGTCTACCAACCTACTACTCTTTATAAATAAAAATAATCTGGGATTTGGATTTTATTATTCTTCAGTGCCTCTTCTTTCAAGAAATTCACAAGCCATAAATGAAACAATGATGAAGAAATACTGCACTATAGTTTATATTCAAGAGTGATAGTATAAATACCCAACTTTTGGGTCATGAAATATTGAGTGAACTACTGGTTAACAAACTTTATCGGCTACAAACCTTGATAACTTTGGTTTTCTGCTGAGTCCACTTCTCTCGCTTCTCTTGTTCAGATGCAACAATTCTTTCTTTTAGATTTTTCATTTCTTTAGAGTGTTTTTCTTCTAAGAGCTTAATCTGAAATGATAAGGGAATAAAAATTTTGGCTTTCCTAATATATATTTTTATAGCATGTGCTGCTGTTATAATAAAAATTATCAAAGACTACTACTACTAGTACTGCACTATCATGTACATACTATGATTACAGTACAGTATAATATTTTTTTACAAAATTTAATAAAGTTACAGTAAAACATTCTATAACATGAATAAAATTTATATTCCATGGAAAAGGCTTCACCTGGTTGGACTAGGGAAGAGAAGTCTCTGATCCAGGTTTTTAAACCCTGTCATGTTATTACGCTATAAATGATCCTTACAACATTTTTTTTAGCACATCGGCAGTTTCTCACCGAGGCAGGGTGACCCAAAAAGAATGAAAAAACTTTCATCATCAATCAACACTTTCACCATCACTCATACATAATCATTGTCTTTGCAGAGGCACTCAGATACAATAGCTTAGACTTCACTCCAAATTGCCAATATCCCAAATCCCTCCTTTAAAGTGCAGGCATTGTACTTCCCATTTCCAGGAGTCAAGTCTGGCTAAATGGCTTCCCTGAATCTCTTCACAAAATATTACCCTGCTCACACTCCAATAGCTCATCAGGTCCCAAAAACTAGTTGTCTCCATTCACTCCTATCTAACATGCTCATGCTTTGAATACATCATGGAGCTAAAAGTGGAGAGGGTAACAGGAGTAGAAAGGGAAAAACTAAACTATAAAAGGGGGACTACACAGGAATGAGGACCTTCCTGCAGGAGGTTCAGTGGGAACAGGAGTTGGTAGGAAAATCAGTAAACAAAATTATGGACTTTGTAACAACAAAAATGCAAGGAGGCAGAGGAAAGGTTTGTTCCCAAGGGTAACAGAAATAATGGGAAGGACAGAACGAGCCCTTGGTTTACCCGAAGGTGCAGGGAGGCAAAAACTAAGTGCTCTAGAGAATGGAAAAAGTACAGAAAGCAAAGGACTCAGGAGAATAAAAAGATTAGTCTATGAGCCAGAAACGAGTATGCACAGATAAGGAGGGAGGCGCAGCGGCAGTATGAAAATGACACAGCATTGAAAGTCAAGTCTGACCCGAAACTACTCTACAGCCACATCAGGAGGAAGACAACAGTCAAGGACCAGCTAATCACGCTGAGGAAAGGTGGGGAGCTCACAAGAAATGACAAGGAGGTATGTGAGGAGCAACATGAGATTTCAGGATGTATTTACAGTGGAGGCTGAAGGGACAACAGAAAGACAAAAACAGTGGGGTACAGCAACAAGGGATATACCAACAAGTGTTGGATGAATTACATACAACTGAGGAGGAGGCGGAGAAGCACCTAAGTGACCTTAATACCTCAAAGGCGGTGGGACCGGACAACATCTCTCCGTGGGTCCTTAGAGAGGGAGCAGGGACACTACGGTGCATAACAAAACCTTTAACACTTCCCTTGAAACTGGGCAACTACCTGAAGTATGGAAGAAGGCAAATGTAGTCCCCATCTTTAAGAAGGGAGACAGAAATGAAGCACTAAATTATAGACCAGTGCCACTGACATGTATAGTACGCAAAGTCTTGGAAAAGATTATCAGGAGGAGAGTGGTGGAGCACCTGGAGTGGAACAAGATTATAAACAACAGCCAGCACGAATTCACAGAAGGCAAATCCTGTATCACAAACCTACTAGAGTTTTATGACAAGCTAACTGAGGTAAGAAATGAGAGGGAGGGTTGGGTTGATTGCATTTTCTTAGACTGCAGGAAGGCCTTCGACACAGTTCCTCACAAGAGGTTAGTACAGAAGCTAGAGGAACAGGCACGTATAACAGGAAGGGCATTGCAATGGATCAGAGAATACCTAACAGGGAGGCAACAGCAAGTCATGGTCCATGATGAGGTATCACAGTGGGTGCAGTGACGAGCGGGGTCCCACAGGGGTCAGTCCTGGGACCAGTGCTATTCTTGGTATATGTGAACGACAATGACGGAAGGGATAGACTCAGAAGTGTCCCTGTTTGCAGATGACGTGAAGTTAATGAGGAGAATTAAATCAGACGCAGACCAGACAGGTCTACAGAGAGACCTGGACAGGCTGGATGTGTGGTCCAGAAACTGGCTCCTAGAATTTAACCCCGCCAAATGCAAAGTCATGAAGATCGGAGGAGGGCAAAGAAGAAAGCAGACAGAGTATAGGCTAGGAGGCCAAAGGCTGCAAACCTCACTCAAGGAGAAAGACCTAGGAGTGAGTATAATACTGAGTACATCACCAGAAGCACACATTAACCAGATAACTGCTGTGGCACATGGGTGCTTGGCAAACCTGAGAATAGTGTTCCAGTACCTCAGTAAGGAATCTTTCAAGACTTTATACACTGTACGTCAGGCCCATACTGGAGTACGCAGCACCAGTTTGTAACCCACACCTGGTAAAACACGTCAAGAAATTAGAGAAGGTGCAAAGGTTTGCAACAAGGCTAGTTCCAGAGCTAAGGGAAATGTCCTATGAAGAAAGGTTAAAAGAAATCGGTCTGACAACACTGGAGGATAGGAGGGTCAGGGGAGACATGATAATGATATACAAAATACTGCATGGAATAGACAAGGTGGACAGAGACAGGATGTTCCAGAGATGGGACACAGAAACAAGGGGTCACAATTGGAAGCTGAAGACTCAGATGAGTCAAAGGGATGTTAAGAAGTATTTCTTCAGTCAGAGTAGTTAGGAAGTGGAATAGTCTGGCAAGCGATGTAGTGTAAGTAAGTAAGTAAGTTTATTCAGGTATACACAAATACAGTTACATAGAATTATCATACATAGCAGCATATGTGTAGAGAACCTAGGATAACCCAAAAAAGTCAGACAGAGTGACTTATTTCCATTGGGGTCCTTTTACCTTATTATTATAACATAAAGGTTATAATATTTTCTTATTATTCTACAATGAAGATAACATCTTATTATCATACTAAAAAGACTATCTGCTACACCAAGGTCATTAAGACTATCTACAATACGAGGGTCATTAAATAGGATAAGGTAAAATTTACACGTATCTTAGCTAAAAAATAGAAAATCATTCCCCTCCCTTTCTGTAGCTACATTCATCAGGACACCTTTTGGCACTCTTCTTGAACTGGTTCACGCTATGACTGGCTTTGACATGTGCGGGCGGGTCTTTTCCCAATTCCTTTATTGCTGTACAATAAAGGTGTTTGAAGCCTGGCCACGGGACTGTGGGTACTACAAGTTGTGCTCTCCCCCTAGTACTATGATTGCTTTGGTTCCCAACCTTGACAAAATTGACAGAAAGATATTCTGGACATTGTTTGTGGCAATTTTTATAAACATGATTTAGCTTCAGTTGTTTTACTCTGTCTTCAACATTCAGCATATCCAACTGCTGTAATTCATCCTGGCCTAATGTTCTCTTGGTCCCAGCCCCAGGATGAATCTTACGTTTTTGTTTGGGTGATTTGCAGTCTATCTTTCAGTTTTTTTGTCAAGGCAGAGGTACCAAGAAGAGCAAGCGAAATCCATATGGCATTGTAAAAGGGCTAGACAAGGGCCTGCGAGCCTCATTTAGGTAGACACTGTGCTTGTCTTTACAGGAACTTCAGTCTGGCATTCGCTTTCTTTACTACACTGTTCCCTATAAATTCTCCTGACATGCATGGGTAAAAGGGGGATTCCCAAATATTTTACTGATGAAACCAAAGTGATGGGCTCCCCCATTACATTGAACATTAAAATTATTTCCCTTTCTAAATTTATGTTTCATGCCAAAGAGAATGGCTTCAGTTTTCCCTAGGTGTAATGATAGTTTGTTGTCTACTAACCTTTTGGGCTGCAGGACTCCAGTTCCAGTGTTAAAACATTAGCAATATCTTGTGGGTCTTTACCTGACACTAACAGAGCACTGTCATCTGCATACGTAGGAGTTTGCACTTGACACTGATAGGCTATCATTGACATAACATAAGAATAATAAGGGCCAAAAATACTCCCTTGGGGAACTCCACATGTTATCAGCAGGGGTTTTGATTCTGTTTTGTTGATTTTGACTATTTGTCTCCTGTTGCTAAGGTAGGACTTAAAACCAGTCTACAGAACCTATACCGATAGCTTAAAGTTTATTACATAATATATTGTGGTTGACAGTATCAAAGGCCTTTTTGGCAGGTCTAAGGTTACCATGGCCTATGAGGTTCCCTTTGACATTTCAGTTCTCAGGTAATCCATCAGATTAATAAGGGAGGTGTCGGTTTGAGTGGATCTTCTAAACCCGAAAATTGTAGCTATGGAGAATGTTGTTGTAAATTAAGGTACTTAACTACTTGAAATACACCGCCCTCTCTAGAATTTTAGATATTATACTGAGTATACTAACAGGCCTATAGTTGTTACATCAGACCTACTATTTTTCTTGAAGATAGGAGTAACTTTGGCCTCCTTTTAACCCTCCGGTACGGTATTGTGGTGATTGATAGATTTATTATGTGAGCAATAGGGATTGACAGTTCAGAAGCACCATCTTTTAGGAACTTAGACGGGATGTTATCAGGGCCTGTGCTCTTAGTTGGGTTTAACCTGCTTAGTTCTTTTTGAATGAAGTCCATGAGATACACTTACTAGTTGACAACTGTTTGGGGTTACCCTTTATTGGTAAGTATGTTCGAAACTTTTTCAGAGTCTGTGTTAAAGGTATTTGATGCAGCTGGTAGTTTACTTACTAGTGTTGATGAACAGATGTGTAGTATGAATTAAAGCAATTTGCCACCTTAGATGTTTCGTGGCATACCTCATTATCGATAGTGAGTTACTTTTGTTAGAAACCCATCTACTGGCTTATGGCTTACCCAACTGTTTTCGTTGTTGCCAGAGCTTTCTGGGTTATGCTTATACTCTTCAATTTTGAGCAGTAGTGCTTTGCCTTTGCTCCTTTTATAAGTCTCTGTACTCTGTTCCTCACTCTTTGGAATTCATTTTGTGCTGCAAATATCCTGTCTGTTTGCTTT